AACCTAAAGCATCCCTGAGATGGTACTTTTGTCCATTCTCTTTGAAATGTAGTGTGGTATAGTGTGCGGAGTTCTGGACATGGAACAAGGAGACCTAGGTTTAAGTCATGGTCCTGCTATTCAGTCACTGACCTTGAACAAATTACTTTACTTCTCTGGTCGTCAGTTTTCTAATCTGCAAAAAGAGGGGATGAACTAAATGATCCATCCCATCTATCTCTAAGCTTCAAGCATTCTCTTACTCCCCTTTCTTTTCTTCTCTCCCTTTAGGAAGATACTGAGGCAAGGGAGAAGTGGAGCTAAGTCTTCAGTATTTGTAAGGACAGGTAACTATCCCAATTCTGCTACCTCTACCACTGCTACACTTCCTCTTTTTTCTTTTTCCTTCCTTCCTTCCTTCCTTCCTTCCTTCCTTCCTTCCTTCCTTCCTTCCTTCCTTCCTTCCTTCCTTCCTTCCTTCCTTCCTTCCTTCCTTCCTTCCTTCCTCCCCCCGCACACCTACTATATGCGCATAGAAAAAATTCCTACCATTTCCAACATATCAGATTCCTCCACTTCCAGCATCTCACCAGATTTCTCCATTCATTTGGCTATAATCCTAGGTAAGGGGGGAAATATGATGGAAGTTAAAGAAAGACCTTTTCTACTCTATGCTTAGAGCGCACACGTGACTTGGCATAAAGAATGTATCAGGCCCAGTGCCAGTAGTTGAAAATAACAGTGAATCTTAGAGGCCTCAGAGTATTTTTATTTTTCCTTTCAATTCACTATTCATCTTTCTATATTTTTCCAATTTTATTAATGACTTTGAGGTATATTTTCAATGTCAGATTATAACTAAAAGACATTATGTTGAAATTTAGTTCTGAGCCTTTGATAAAGGAGAAAAGTTAGTAATATTATCAATAAAGAAAATGAAGATCATTTATGACAGCATGAAAAATGCAGATGATGAAACAAGATAGAATTATCGGTATAGTGGGTGAAAGGTAAAAAGATGAAATTTGTACTTGACATGAAAAAAGAGTGGGAGGGAAGGAAGGGAGAGAGGGAAAAAAGAGGAGGATAGAAAAAAGAAAGGAAATAAAGGACGATGTGGAAATGAAAGAAATTCAAGTCAGAAAGAAAGAAAACTATTGCAAATGGGAGAAATATCAACAGAAGCTTTATGATTATTAAGCTTTTTTTTAATAAATTACCTCATATAATAACAATCTTATGATATGGGTAGAATTAATTATTCTGAATGTAATTAATATTATAATATTAATATTATATATCAATATTATATAATTACTAATAATAATTATTATTATTAATAATAATTAATAGGAATATAATTAATTGTGAGGACTGCCCTCATTTTATAGATGAAACTGAGGTCTATAGTCACCACAGTTAATAATCATCAGATCTGGAACTTGAATAATCTGACTGCAAATCCAGTGTTTCTTCCACTATACCACACTGCTGAACAGGAAAGAAAACCTGAAGAGTTAAAAGGAAAAAAATAGCCACTATATTTAGTATTCTGAATTATAGCAATGAGTAAGAAAACAGAGTTTTTAAAAGATGTTGTCAAGTGAAAATAAGAGAATATTTAGCAAAAACCTGGGTAGAAGAGAAAAGAGGGGAAGGAGTCAGATTTCAGACATTGTAGACAGAAGAGCTGGTGGAATTACTAACATCGATAGGAAACAGAGAGAACACAGTCTGAAAGATGAGTAGCTTTCTTTCTGTTGCTTGATGTGGCAATGAGGCACTCAAAAGAATACAAATGATTAAAAAGAAAGGGCAATCTTTATTTATTTATTTACTTTTTGACAGGGAAGTTTTCATTTATTTATTTATTTTTTGGCAGGGAAGTTTTTAAATCAAACAGTGACAATGGATAGAACATGTCTTAAGATCTCTGAACTACAGAAAGTGGTCAATATAAGAAAGTAATCAGAGACTAAGCTCTGGGGGCCTTCCATCAAAACCAGAAACATGAAGAGTAAGCGAAGAAAGAATATATAAGAAAGGACAACTAAAGATTTTAAAAATAACATACACTTAGTGATTTCTAAAAATTTCCACTAAAGAATTTATTTATAGGTACTAAGATCTTAGAATGGCTAGGAGACAAAGACCTTGCATAAGTTAGAGAAAGGAAAAATACAAATGTGTAATTTGTAAACTTTGGGAAAGCAGTAGTGTTGGATAGCCTCCTCCTAGTACACTAGGCAAATTTCCATGATGGTAGGCTTCCAAGGGTAGACCACTACTGCTTCCTCCTCCCCTCCCTTGTTCCCTACTTAAAAGTGTGAAAGTACAGATTATTCCGCAGACCAACAAGCAGAAGTCTGGGAGCCCCGTGGGTGAGTCTAACCACAAACAATGATTATTTATGATCTGTATATACATTATTTAATGTGATTGGTGCTAATAAATTTTAAATAACTACCTGAAGCATGAAGATAGTAGTCCTGAATCATAAATGTGGAAAGGAATTGGAAAGGTCATCTATCTATTCTACTCTCCTCCTTACTCAGGGCTCCTTAAACCCTCCTAGAGAAAAATGACTTTTGGTTACCTTTCTACTTCTAGTGATCAGCTCAGCAGCAGATTTTGAAGATTCCAGGTGAGTGCACTATAATGATTAACAAATAGCACATCCAGACCACGGGTTTAGTATGCACAATCCAAATAGATTTACAAATGGAACTCTTGGGAGGAGAATTATCTCAAAATAACTGACAAAGAGAGATGATACATTTCCTTTTCCTTCCAGTTCATCTTAGACATAAATATGAGTGTTACAAGGTTTCACGTAATTGACACCCAGAAACTTCATTACCATTGTGATCTTTTTAAAGAGCTTTCTTTTGAAAAGCATCAATATCAAGGACATTTACACCTTTTGCTACAACTTGAAAAACTATCACTGTAACAACAGAGAAGAGGTCTATAAGTATCCTCTCCCTTGATTTTAGTTCCCAAATGATATCCCTTCAATTAAGGAAAAACTCTCACTCTATCCACCTCAGAACAAAAGCTTGAGCCCCAAGTAAATCAGCCAAATCTGATTCCCAAGAAGGCTTTGCCTTCCAGGATTGAAAGCTACATATAGTGTAGTCATCCAGGAAGAGGACAGCATAAAATGCAGGGACAATCTCATGTACTAGTAGAACAGATGGTTGGTTTCCTGTAAACTATGAATGATATGTTTCAAAACATAAACCTCATCTGATCTACCTTTAGACTACCATCTAACAATGGGTTAGATAAGCAAGGTGGAAGCATTGTCTCTATAAAGTCCCAGTTAATATGCACTGGTGGTTATATGACACATGGACCACTATCCTTCTGCAGTAGGAAGAGTAGATGATTTGGAGTCAGAGGAATTGGGTTAGAATTCTGTTTTCACCATTTACTATCTATGTCACTTTATCTCTGAGTCTGGATTTCCTTAGCTGTTGAAATGACAAGAAGGGGAACTGGACTAGATGATCTTTAAAATCCTTTCCAACTCTAAATTTATGATTCTATAACTGACTCCCACATTACCATGAATAATTTTGTCATTCTATCAAGTTAACACCTGTTCCCTGAGAGGATATAGGACTGGTAAGTTTGGGTGTGGGATAGGAGAGGGATAGGAACACTGACAAGTCCTAGATGGCCTGGGAATAACTAAGGAGGCCAAGACTCAATATAAAATATAGGGCCTAATGGAAAATTCAAACCCTGTGTGTCTTGGAAGAAGGAGAACCAGAAAACAACTTATCCAGGATTTTGCTTACTGCCAGTTCTGATTGCATGGTACAACATGTTTTCTCCCTTTGAAGCTTCAGGGCCACGTTTAAATGCAAAGGCTCTTAAGCCATCCATTCCCTTCTCTGGGGACAAAGACTGACTGACATTCAGCAAAGAATTTTTATAAACTGAAAGGTGAGGACAACTTCTTGGAAAGAAGACACCATATATATCACAGAGGCTGTGTACTAAAGGGCACATAATGACTAAATCATACAGATAGAAACAGAACAATCTCAAACAGAATTAAAATGGCTTCACTTCTACAACGCTTTAAGGTCTACCAAGTTTCTTCCTTGGAACCATTTCTTGAGGTATAGATTATTTTTTTCTATTTTACAGACAAGGAAACTGAGGCACAGAATAAGGTAATTTATCCAAAAATCATAGGCTATTAATTTGAAAGAGGAGGCTTTGAACTAGGGTCTTGTGAAACCCAAGACCAGCACTTTCTTCTACTACAGACAACCCATGCCCAAATTCAGTAGTTTCATGAGACAAGGTCACCACAGAAGGAAAATGAAGTGTGAAAAGAAAGAGGGAGGTGGAGAAGACACAGTTCCCATACTAAAAAGGTCTTGGGGGGGGGCGCATAGACTAATCCCGTGGCCATAATTGGAAGCAAGTGCACTCCTGTGAGTCTGGGGGGGTGGGGTGGGGAGACAGACGGACGGACAGACAGACAGATAGACAGGCTCTTGGTAGGTGATTAACCTAATGCCGTGGGTGTGGGTCTACAACGTCTGGGGGTGGTGGGAGGGTGGACATGCTATTTCTCCACTTGCCCCGAAGAGCTGGGCAGGACAGAATCGTCCACGAAGCGTTCGCTGGCAGCGGTCACCAGCTCGGACCAGGAGCGTGTCCTCGGCGCGGTGTTCCAGGGCTGTGACTGCGTGGGGCCGTGCACTGTGGCCAGACTGCCTCCTGCTCGACGGGCACGTTACTGTCCTCACACCCCCCCAGCGTGAGGTTCGCGTGCGGACCCCCAGTCACCCGGCAGGGCAGGGCTGGCCGGGTCCGCGGGGTCAGTGAGGCAGGCGGCTGCAGCCCCGGCCCCTTCCCGCCTGGGGGTGTGCGCGCGCGCAAGTAAGAGACCCCTCCAGGTGTGGCGAGAGCGGGGGAGGGGTCTCCGTCGCCGCCGACGCCCCCTCTGCCCCCAGGTCGGCCTGGGTCCCTGCCCCGGCGCTTCCTCGAGCACTCACCATGTCTGGCCGCGTCTCTGGAGCTCGGGGCCGGAGGAGCGAAGCGATGCGCTGTCCAGGGTATCCAGCCTCCCTCTGCCCTGCGCGCGGCATGCGCGCCCTCTATAAGGTTTTACACACGCGCGCGCACACACCCGTCCCAGAGCACGCCCAGGCACACACACTCACACGCCACGCCGCTCGTCTTGGCCTTGCCCCCGCCCCCCACCCCCCCCTCCTCCCTTTCGCGCCTGCCTCCCTCCTCTCCCGCCTCTCTCCCTCCCTCCCTCGCCCTCGCGGCCCCGAGGCTCCCAAGGCTTCCCCTCACACTCGCACTCCGCTCCTGCCGCGCCCTCTAGGGAAGGGAAGCCAGCACTGCAGGCAACCGGGAGGAGGTGGAGGGAGGGAGGGAAGCGAGGGAGGGAGGAGTAAGAGGAGGGGGCGGGGCCAAGGAAGAGGAGACGCCTGCTCGCCCTCCTGCCAGCCCTTTACTCTCTGACCAACACCTTCAGTTACACCTTACCTTACCCTTTTTGCGGCCGTCGCCTTCCTTGCCACTGGAGGTCTCGGGTGCCCCGCCTCCGCCCTCTCCTGGACGGGCGGAGATTCGCAGCCAAGGCTGCTCCACCACGGGTCCGCTGCTCAAAGATCTCTCTGAACCTACCCCTAAAGAGAAAAGACAGTGGTTGGTTGGGAAGCGTGGAGAGGGAGCAAGAGAAAATAGGTCTGTGTCGAAGGTGAAGCGATTGGCTTGCTCCCCCCCCGCCAAAAAAAAAGCAAAGTGGTCGGGGAAGGGTCCCTCTTCCATAAAATTGCTCTGGTTTGGGTGTTTTCGTTTTGCTGATTTGTTGGGGGTGGGAGTGGGATTTCTGTGCTTAGTGGAGCGCAAAAGCAACAGTCTGAGATGCACCCAAAAGCATGACATTTGTTCTGCATCCTAAATCCAGCCAAAAACAAACCTGACACCTGTTTAATCGCAAGCCCAGTGCCGGACAGTTGAATTGACAAATCATACCTCCCTACCCTAGAGGTTACTCATGGCTTAACTATGGTGAGATCCGAAAGAATCCCAGATTCTGAGTTTTATGTTTCATATGTGATGAAAATGTGAGTTTTAGGGGACACGTGTGAAGGAGTCGGAAACATATTTTTCTTTTTCTTTTCCTTTATTTTTTCCCCTTTAAACACTAAAACTCAGGCTTATTGTATTTATTGTACAGGCATTTGAGTAATTTGGGACACGGCTTAAGAGGATGCTTAGGACCACCACAGCTAACCATCTAGGCATACAATAAAACTGCATGCCTAGCATTCTTGCAACTGGGTCAGCTGAAGTTATAATCTCAAAGTTCCTTGTAACAAAGCATTGTTTGAGTCTTTGGAGCCTACTGACAAGAATGATATCCTGTGGTTTCTGAGCTGTAATAAATCGTCATATGATCACCTTCTTTGCATTCACACTTTATCTTTTTCTTAGTGAGTACCCAGCAGAAGGTATATATTTGTTAAAAGAGGTGAATGTCTTTATTACCATCAATAGATTATTTTAGATATATTAGCTCAATGTCACAGAATCTCAAATGCTAGGATTCAGCCCAAAAGACTCAACAACCAATTTTCTATACAGCATTCATATATTTTCTACGAACAAAAATTCTCCCAGTTTTTGTGGGTATCCAGGTTATAAAGAATCTGGATGTTAATGTCATGGTGCCTTTAATCTCATGATATAATGCAAATACTTTTGTCAATTGCATTCTCAAGGACAACTTCAATCTCCTGCTCTACAGCTGTGAAAAATAACCAGCCTGCAAACAATCAGGTTAAAAGCTGAGTTGATGTGTCATCATGAAAGCTTAATGCATGGAATGAACTTATATCTTTAATTCAGCTCTGTGCTCTTCTTGTTATCAGAACTACCATACCACCATCTTCCACTCTATTCGCCATTGTATTCTCATTATACATACCCCAATTGTAGAGCCAGACTTTAACTATAAGTTACCTACATTTTATCTAATCATTGAAACACTTTGTGGACATAGCATCATTACAAAAAAGTAAGGTAATTAATTCAGTAAACTAGGGTTTTAATTATCCATCATTCATTTAGTCGACAAACAAGGAAATGAGTATATAGGAGCTTGCTTCTTAAACACACAGAAACTGGGACCCTATAGAAGATTAAGATAAGGTAAAATATAAACTTTTAAATATTTAGTAATAGTAATAAGTAAAGACCATAATTAATATAAATTTTTATCAAGTGATTCAACAGTCACATGTGTGACTATGCAAAGTTGTTCAGTTGTATTTGACTCTTTGTGACCTCATAGACCATAGCACTCCAATGCTGTCCATGGTTTTTTCTTGGCAAAGATACTAGAGTGGTTTGCCAATTCTTTCTCCAGTGGATTAAGGCTAGCAGAGTGACTTGTCCAGGGTCACACAGCTAGTAAGTGAGCCAATTTGAACTCAGGTCTTCCTGACTCTAAGTCCAGTGCTCTATCTGCTAAACCACCTAGCTTCCTCAAAGTAAAATTACCACTAGCTTAATCCTAGAATTTTAGAACAAAAAGTAAAGGTCATCTAGTTTAATTACTTCATTTTATAGATTAAGGAAACTGAGGTCATGAAAACAGAGACTAGGGCACTGGGTTCCTGTCCCTTACTCTCTTTCCACTGCCACATGATTCCTCTCTAATTCTTGTAATTTAGGTAAAGTGAAACCAAGGCAAATTGTGAAGTAGTTAGTCTGTCTTCAACACAGTCAGATTTTCCTTTCTTTTACTTTTCCTCCTTCTGTGGCATTCCCTTGCTCCTTCAGGCATTAGAAAATTTTGTGCCATCAGGTCTGGCCATGCCTCCCCTTCCCACCCACCTCCAAGTTCCCATGAAAACAATATCAAGATGAATAGTAAAACAAACTCACATGACCTGAGGTAGAAGGGACCAAGAGGCCAAGCAGCCCAATCTACCCTCTAAAATAACATGAGAAAGCAAATCGATAAACTGTATAAATGTCAGATATAAATTAGGTAACATTTGTGCTTGATTACAAACATCAGTGTTAGTGGGTTTCATGTTGAAGAAGGTATTAAAATATCTGGTGCCTAGAAAAAGAAAGTTAGGCATTTATTACAACCACTTTTATCTAGGGGGGCAAAGATTTGTGTGAGAGGTAAGATTTAAGGGCTTGAAGCTGCCAAGATTAACAAATCATGTTCACATCTGTTGCTTTGGCTACTATCAGTATTGGATACTTAGTCAACTTCAACAATGCACTTGACGTGCCTATTAACCCTGTCAATGCACTAGAGGACAGGTCCATATGTTCCTATATAGGAGCTGGGCCATCTTAGTCATTTTTCTGCACAGCAAATCAGCTCGATTGTACAGTTAATTCTGAGTTTTGACAGCTGAAAGCACTAGAGATCCCATTTTTGCATTCAAGTTTTAATTATTTCTGTAATATGACCTTCACAACCTACTTTCCTCCACCACTTGCCTTTCATATAACTGTTGTGTACTATAGTTTTCATATATAAAAGTGTGTGTAGGAGTATGATTTGATTCTGACCCCTAACTCCAGCTAACTAGTTGATAAAATCACAGAAAGTAAGGGACAAATAACAGAAGTAACAAAGTATTAATATGCTAATGAAGTGAAAAGGCCTGTCCTATTCCATGTTATCTCTTCTGCATAGTGGAAAGGAGTTCTCAGACTGAATTGGAAGGCTAGCTGTTCATTTGCTGGAAAAAAATTTGCCCACAATCCTGGAGGCCTTTAAAATGCTAATCTTTGTGGGAAACAGGTGATGTGAAAAAAGAAAGACATCAATAATATTTTTCTTTGAAAGCTAAACCTGCCAAGCTCTGCAGACAGCAAAGTAGTTAGAACATTGTAGGGAATTAGCTTTGTAGAGGTGATCCCTATATGTCTACTAGATGGCAGCAGGTGTGAGAGGAAATTTTCTCTCCTTCCCATCATCAGCTGTGGACATCTAGCAGCTGTATTACTCTACCAGTAGGAGAGACCACATCCAATAGGAAGCAATTTGGAAAGCTGAGTAGTTCAAGATAGGGATCAGAGACACACTATGCAGAAGGAAATATAATATATATATATATATATATATATATATATATATACACATACATACATACATACACACACACACACACACACACACACAGACAGAGAGAGGGAGGAAGAGAGAGGCAGAGAGAGACAGAGAGGGAGAGACAGAGACAGAGAGTGAGAGAGCTCCTTCAAGGTAGGAGCAGCTTCAATGAGTGAGACCTCAGGCAAAAGAGAAGAAAGTCAGCTATGGATTCCAGAGAAAATGAGCCCTGGCTATTTAGAGTTGAACTTCAGAGAGGAGACCCAGGGAGTCCAAGTGAACAATCTACCCAGCAGAGGTGATGAACCCAAGAGGGAGCAGTATGAGAACATGATGGGAAGGAAAAGAACATTAGGCCTTGTAGTAGAGACCACATATGTGGCCTTAGCCATGTGTATTCCCTATGAATGTGCTGAGCTCACTATCAGTGTACTCTCTAAGTTTGTACCCATTTTTATCATGGATGATGTGTGAATTTATGAGAATATGTTTCAGATTCACGAAGAGGAGTTGTTTTGTAGCTACTGTCCTTAACAATGCCATCTTAGTAAATGTCTTTGAGTTAATTGTGTCTTCTGGCTGACTATTAAAAGTTAGCATGTCACTGGGTGTTTATGAACTATTGTTTTACAGTTTTAGAATCCATTCCCATAGTGCCTTTGAACTTAAAATATTAGCTGGTGAGGGACCCCAACCTTCAAGTGTGAATTCAAGCTGGGTGTGGGGGGGGTGGCAGAGATAGCTCCTGGAGAGTGTTACAAAAGGTCAAATTTTTAAAATAATACCTTCAGTTGGGTATTGAGGGCATTATTATTTTATTGAAGATAAATGCTTGCTCATTAAATGCTCTTAAATCCCTAGAAAACGTTGCCTCATAAAAATACATTACGAGGAAAATATCTTTAATACAGACCCTTTTAATTATAATTCATTCATTATACTGTGCTTTCTACTAGAAATGAAAACCTTCATTTGGATTTTAAAACACATTCAAGGTCACTGGAAATTTTAGCCTCACTAACAAAGCTATCTTTGGCAATGCAC